CTTAACGGCGTAGCGGTTATCTTTTGGGTACCAGTTGACTCCACGTCCTACATTGCTGAGCTAACTGTTGTCACTAAACACTGTACCAGTTTGAAGAGTTCGGCCAAATCGCCCACAGGATCAGGATTCGCTTCCATCAATCGCTTCGTCTGTCGAAACCAGACAGCTGAGTGATGGCACTTTTGTGCTAAACCAGTCCCATAACAGTCCATCTCTGCAAGTTAAACCTTGACGCGACGCTCCCTTGCAAAAACTCCAGCCAAATTAGCCCAGATCAACTCAGCATGATAGCAATGTCCGTAAACTACTGCTGATGTGCTTCGGACAAGTATTTGTGCCCTGTTCCGATCAATTAATAATAAATCGTTTTTACGCGTGAATTGTCTCGATTTTAAATAGCCAAACAGCATCGCAGTGTAAAATATCATTTAAATCGACTTGGGCAATAGATTCTCATGAGTCATCTTCATGATTATTTCAGCACAAAAGTAGGTGCTTTGTAGGTTTCTGTAGAATCTATTTCTTCCCTACCTGATAGCAGAAGCTCATTTCATTTTAGCCAATAGAAAGCTTTCAGCCAAATTGTTTAAGGCGCCGCTTCTATATATTCATGTGTTCAAACAAACGCTAATCTTAATGTCGATCATTCAAACAGAACCGGTTTTTAAATTTCATACTCACCACCAAATGGCGTTTCAATGAGCAGTACTCGGTGGCTTTACTTGTGTCTGTAAAGTGTGTTTGTTTGCATAAACTCTTCCAGATAGGAGATATTCCGGGAAAAGAAACCGAGAGAATGTCATTGTAGATTTTTTGAATTATTTCTGCTCCATCAATAAAAGATGTTCCAAAAAAATTTATTTGCATTTTCGTCAGATTGACACGAGAACTTGATAAGTGAAGTTGTGTTCTACGATGACGATATGGAAAATCAATAAAAATTTAGTGATTTTTGAAGTTATCATTGAATTTCGGACACCAGTGTATTCCTCACTCGGAGTGGTTTCTTAAAAAACAATAATTAAGCTGGATGTCTTCAGTGGAAGAATCAGACAGACTACCTCAATGGTGCATGCTTTATTTAGGCGACGTGTTTTGAAGGCGCTATTGCAATAGGTGATCGCACTCTTACTCACAACCCATTGGTCGAAGCACGCGGGATCCAATAATCGAATCAACCAATCACTGCTGCACTTGTGCTCAAGTTCAGCTCTCCTGTCGGCTAATTCGGTGAGGCGTACGCGGCCGTTGGTGGAAGTTTCGTAGCACGGACGACTTTGACCCTGAAAGGCGTGTTTACAATTTCTCAAAATTAATGACTTAAGTGTAATGGATTGCCTCTGGGCCCAATCGTTCCCAACTCCCGCCCTCCCTCGCCCCAAACACACACACACACTCCCCCTCCACAGCAGCCCGCTCCAACGTGGCTATGAAAAATGGCCATCTTCGAGAGACAACGCCGTGCGTTAAGCGACGTTGACAAGCCGGACTGTTAAATAAGGCGGAGCAGGGTACATGGATTGTCCTCCCTAACTCGCCTGCCTCGCGCAAATGCCACTAGTTGCATCAATCACACGGTGTTATTTTGTTTAAGCCGATGGAATGCGTCGCCTCTGAGGGGTGCTACAAAGGGGGAGGGGGGAGGGGGGCGATTAGTTTGTGTCTTAAAGGGTAGAGAAATCGGTGAGCCCCGGGCTAAAAGGTCAGTCGACGTTTCAGTTTCTCCATCTTGCCCTCTCCATCTTGCACGCCTAATTGTTCCGACATTTGCAGTCGTGTTTTCGCGCCGAAATTGCCCGCCTCCCCCCGCCCCCCTGCCCAGCCACACACACCTGTCCAATCTGCACAATCGGACAGTTTCCAGGTTGACTCGTTGTTTAAATTAATAGGATTCATTTCCGGGTTTTGCTTGCTTCCAGAGCGCAACCAATCACCGGAGTCCATTTAAGCACCATTCGCGCTAATGACAAGACCTACATAGTCAAACGACCAGATCAAAACAGAGGAGAAGTCTGCAGATAAAACGTCGTTCATGGTAATAGCGTGGGGTTATACAAGGCAATAAATTGTCATTTTATGCACGTTTGATTAATATCGATCGCTGAACGAAGTGGTGTCAGGTAAATTGATTGAAAGTGTGCTCGCTCACGCGCTTGCAGTGACTTGAGAGATGATTCGATTTGATTTTTTAACGCGAAACCAGGGGGCAGCTTCGAGAGGGTTGGCCGTTGAGACCTCCTCCCCCAACCCCCTTGTACCTGGGTGCCACAACAGCTGATATGTCCAGTTTTACGTGGGTTTTTCTATACCAAACGTATATTCAGGCTCATTTGCACAGATGACTTCCAAATGCCAATTTAGAGTCTACCCACTGTGACCGAATGCAAGTCCGTAGTGGGGTGATGCGTAAGCACAAATCAATTTTCTTCAAATCCAGTTTCTCCTAATTTAGATAAGACCAATTAATTGAAGTTGGTAGAGTTGTCCCTCCACACAAGTATTGATTTATCGATTCCCCATTGCGGCATAGGTAATCGATCAAATTATTCATTGAATAAAACCTGTAGTTATTGAGTACGTCGCAATCCCGTAAGCCAAACAACTCGCATGAGCAGTCTAGGCGTTCCATCCGATGTGGGACTCGAACCTAAGGCCATCAGCGACCTTTTGTTGCGCGGACGCCTGCAAGCTGGTGTCCGAAGTGACGTGGAAGGCCGCTGAAATGGAGAATTGTATCACAATTCGTTTAGTGGTTGTCAGCCAACTCCTTGACCGGCGGTTCTTTTGGTTTTCAGACTTTCTGAACCCCGGCGACCCCTTCAGAGGCCTGCTGTTCCCGAGCGACGCCACAGCCACCAGCCAATCCCATCACTCCTCGATCGGTGGTGGCTTTCGCAGTCCCTCCCAGACGCACTCGGGGTCCAGCGATGTGCTTGGCAAGAACAAGAAGACGCGAAAGGCTCGGACGGCGTTTTCCGACCACCAGCTGAACGAGCTGGAACGCACCTTCGAGCGGCAGAAGTACCTTTCTGTGCAGGACCGGATGCAGCTGGCGGAGAAATTGCACCTCTCCGACATGCAGGTGAAAACGTGGTACCAGAACAGAAGGTAAGGCTAAAGGGCGAAATTCCAGCCAATCAGAGTCCTGGGCTGCTGATCCCGCACATCCGATTGGCCAAAAAGTCACCAAATCAAGTTTACTTTAATTGGCCCCAAATTAAAGGTTTTTAATTAAAAACTGCTTGGTTTTTCTGGTTCCGTGTCAACAGACCCCTCCAAAATGTGGCTATATTAGTTTCAGACTGATTTGGTGCGTACTACAAAATCGACCTCACGATATCTCCACCGATATTTGGGACCGGTGTCAGAGTACCGATCTCCGGTACTTCCCATTACGGCCGACCCCTGAGACCCGTTGTCCACTTTGCTGATTCGATAATTTTCGGGCGTTTTTAGTGTCTCAGCCAACACATCCGGGGCATACCTGCAGTGAACTGTAAAATTAAACCAACGTGCCTAAAGCTCGTTCACGAGTTGATCTAATGTCATCGAAAATCGATACTTACTCAAACGCAGAATTATAAATCGACAGATGAATGGTCCGGCGCCAGTACACAGTCATATCCGCTGTCACCTGTCTTGGGTTTGCTATCGGGTTGTTACAGGCTGTTGATTTAAGAAGTTGTAATTTGGTGCAAACGAATTACCACATTTGGAGACCCCGGTGTGATTATCGATTGTCAACAACAATAAGTTCAAGTAATTGTCCTTGGGCGTTCACTGACCGTTTGAAGGACGTACGTGAACTAATGAACACTTAGATAGGTGAGTCATGAAGCAATTAATCGTCTTCCATCAGAGTTTACGAAATTCGGCAAATTTCGCCAACCAAACAAGTACTTAAGTTAGGTGAAACGAATAGTCTGTCTGCCACTTCAACACCACTCAAATTCTGCAAAGTCTGTAGTCTCCTGTCTTCTCTTGAAGGACTAAATGGAAGCGTCAGGCAAGTGTCGGCATTGAACTCCTGACAGAAGCCACTCACAGCGTAAATCGGTTGCTCCATCAGCATCATCAACACCAGGAATTGTCCGCTACCAGCTCCTCCTCCTCGCCCTCTATGCTGTGGACTCCTCACTCCCCGTTTGAGCCCCTATCGATCCTCATGAAGTCCGGGGATGTCCCCAAACTCGCTGCCCCTCCACCACCACCACCACCACCTGCGGCTGACCTTCTCACCTTGCTAGCGACCAATCGGCTGGAGGCTTCAAGTCTGCCAGCACATCCACAAGGCGGCCTCGATCTGCTCAAGTGTTTCTCCCTGCTACCACAGCAATCCCCCACTAAGCACACTTCCAGCGTGCGTGACGCACCAAACCCCAAAACATTTGAGCGCTTCACCACTAGGTAGACGCCTGTTGAGCGTGGTGTGTTTCTTTCCAAAGTAATACAACTTTTACATGATCTTTTCTTCCGAAATTGAGTGAGCTCTGATATCCAGACGTCGGCAGCTACCAATTACGCACGAACAGGCGGAAAATTAATGTTTTAACAGGTTGTTTATGTTATAATTCCCCGTGACAAGGAGTCGCAGCAGCCATGGAGTTTCGACTGCGTTTTCCACCAATGAAATCGCTGTTTTACCTCTGCTGACACATTCCAAGCTATTAAACGCCTGACCCTCGTAAATGCGAACGGATTAGGCACGCAAACGCGAACAATTCACGGAGAAATTTTTCCTTAGTGCGTCACTACTTGTCAAGTGAATGCAAAGTTTGTGCCAACGAACGCGATGGGTTTGTGCCCCGGTGGTATCCTAGGAGATAAACATTTGAAAATACTGGTTTGGTGTTTCACGGAGTGGGTAAATTCGAAATGGCGCTCAGTGAGTGAACGAGATCATTAAAACAAGGTGGGGAAGGCAAGAAGTGGTGCTGAAGGTTAATCCATGGGTTCATTTGCAGTGACTTGAGAGTTAATTCGCTTTGATTCAGTGACGCAAAACTAGAGGGAACATATGGAAGCTTGAAAATGGCGCGAAAGGTTTTCTTTCAGTGCTGTTTTTTGTGGTTTCGGAAGGATTGGACGCAAGGCTTCAGTAAACCGAGCGACAAGTCTACGTGAGTTACAGAAGCACGGAGTAAATCAATATGTAAGGCTCCTGGTATCGACCTTGTGACTTACGAAACGTGTAATTATTCTTACCAGCGTGTTAGAAGTGGTGATTTCAATGTTGGTGACCAGCCACACTCCGGACAGCAGCCTCGAAAGTGTGAAGATGCTGAATTGCTAGCTCTAGTGGATGAAGACTTAACGAAAACGCAACAAGAGCTTGCAGCCCAGTTGAGAGTCACCCAAACAGATATTTCGAAGCGTTTGCACCACCAAGTGGGAAAAGTGCAAAACGCGGAACTTGGGTCTCCCCACATGTGTTGACCAAACACAACCCACATCAACGTGTGAACACATGCCTTTCACTGCTTGCTCGCCGGCAACAAGCAGTGAATGAAATTCTAGTGGAAAATTGTGACGGACGATGAGAAGTGTGTTAGTTACGAGAACCCCAAATGTACCTCGGGTGTCGTGGGTAGACCCCGGGTAACCCAGTACATCGACGCCGAAACACGACATCCACATGACGAGGGTTCTACTGCGTGTCTGGTCATGGGGGAGGACATTAGTGGTGTACTTTAAAACGAACTCTTGGGACCTGGTCGTCAGACGGAGACTGCGGAACGCTACAGCTGACAATAGAATAAATTGAGCTGAGTACTTAATCAGAAGGGGTTATTAACTGGTCAAGGGAGCAGGCAAGTCATACTGGTGCTGTTGCATGGCCACGCTCGACCACGTCACATTGCTCGTGTCGCGACTCAGAAGACCGTGTTGAACTTGTGGCGAGAAGTTCTCCCCACACACGGCATATTCACCAGACTTGGCCCATCTGCCTACCATTTGTTTCAGTTAGTGAATCACGCCATGATGGATAGACGCTTCAAGACGCTGGACGATATGCTCTTAATTAGGGAAAACCAGTTCAAACCAAAACACTGCTTTGTGTCATTAGACACGTACTTCAACGAACCCCTTTTCCTATTGGCTCAAGAGCAGCCACTGGGGGGACAGAAAATCATGCATAAGCTTGCAACATCAGTAACACTTAATCGATCTCCCAAGGTCACGAGGAGTATGAATACCATGGCTGTCAAAGGTGGAGCTAATTGTGTAGCACATGACAGTGTCAGATTCCATTCGACTTTGCCGCATTTATCTCACGTCTCCACTTGCCCTCCACACTTCCTGCATTTCAAACAGTTTAATTTGCTTCTTGTAGATGGCATTTATTGTTTAAATTTGCCTAAACACATGAACCAATTTTGGCGGGGGAGGGCGGAATCGAAAGACTCCTTGTTTAGCTAGCTTGACGCACCCTGCTGGCTGCTAATCGCTCGTTCAACGAGATGCCAGTGAAGTCGAGCTTAAGGAGGTTAGGCAGCACAGAGAGCACCGTGACGAAGTACCCGGGTTCGAGCTCGGCGGGATTGCCGTGGGCGGTCAGTTTGGTCAGGTTCTGCAGGGGCTGGAGCTTAATGAGCTCCTTCGTCGTCTTAATCCGGTTGCTGTGCAGGTAGAGAATTTTCAGATTGGTCAGCTGCAGCAACTCGGGGGGCACTCGCGGCAAGAGGTTGCACGAGAGGTCGAGCCACGTGAGCCAGTTTTCGCTGGGGAAGAGGCCGCCAATGGCGCGCGGCAGATCGTCGAGGTCTTCGATGCTGTTGTTGTTGAGTTTGAGCGAGGTGGTCAGCCACTTGTCCGACGCGTCCTTGGGGTTGGCCAGACCCAGCGGTGAACTGATACGTGGTGGACATCGAAGGATCTCCATCGGTGTCTTCACTTGGTAAAAGGAGCAATCCAGGGGCAGCAGTATGCCCTCATGCTCGCAATCTACTCTGGGCAGAATCTTCGATTTGGAGGTCGGTTTCGCGCCCTCTGGGGCCATAGCTGCCCCGAGGGGGCACTGGCACGCCGTTAAGCGAGGCACCCATTCAAATTTATCGATTGGGGACGCATGCTGGCCTAGGTTTCATTTGTGTAGCTACGTGACTGATCTTTCCAATGGACCTCGTTATTTGATTTGGATTCCTTGTTGGAAGGTAGGAAATTTTTCAGCCAGATGTAAATTCAGGTGTGAATCCTACCCTTCAAATGTTGTCAAGACTTATCAGGCCGGTGGCGTCCACGAACGTGATTGAATGTATGTTGTCATGGCGTCTGTTCCACCAATAAGGAAGGAGAACGAGTCTTTTCGTAACCGTAATTTGAATGGAAGATGACTCCAATATCATTTGAACCTCTAAGAAGTTTCGGAAGAGGCCTAGATCTGTTGGAAGAGAATGCCATTTGAAGAGGTTCTGCAAGCAATAACTGTCTGTGGAACGTTCAAAAGCGTTTACGTGTTATCCTAAATAAGAGTATTATAACAGTGAATATTGTAGTAAATCTTTACGACAAATATGTGGAAGGTAATTGTTTACCATATTGGGACTGTTGGTTTGCTAGTTCAGTGTGTAACGCGCCTACTACCGAGCGGGGACCTAAATAGGGAGATGACAGTTAGCCCGTCCCTCTTAGATAGCCACACCATCATGGTGAGGTACCAGGCACACCATAGAAGAATAGCTGGAAGAACCGGATGTATCCCATACTACCGGGGCTAGAACTTAGGGGGAGTTAGAGTGGGGAAAGGGGTGGCCTCGAGGAGGGTCGGTGTTGCCCTCGGACTCACGGGGGCGTGCCCTGAGGAAGGCGAGGGTGCGGGAGGGGAGAGGAGGACAATGAATGACGCGCGTTACAAGTGGGCAAATCGTAAGTGGCGCTCAACGAGAATAAGAATTAAAACAACGATCTTGCAACTATCAAAGCTGATGATCCCTCATCAAATCCACACAGTATCGCAGACTTATTTTAACTATTCATTGTCAAAATCGGTGCATTGATGGAGTTGACAGAACTTGCCTTCTGTGAACAAAATTAATAAGTTTTCCTCATGATGAATCCTTTTCTTACAGCTAGCAGTTCTTCTCTGTCCGATTCTCTTCCTAAGGCTTGTCAATACTACTGATAACGCAAAAGTACATCACGGGCACATCCAAGTGGGTATTTATCAAGTTGAATTGCGAGGTGGATATTGCCGATTCAGCCCTCAAACGAACGCCACTTCTGCGCCAACATTGCTTCTGCTCTCTAGATTAATCCGTAAGGTGTTTGGTCAGATTGAAATAGTTACAACTGTGCTGTGTGTGTGTGTGTGTGTGTGTTTGTGAATGCAAGACCTCAATTTCGGCCAAACGCCTGTGAAGTTACCCAAATGGGGCCGTGATGTACACACGAGCGTTTAGCGCGACTGCACTTGACCGAGAACCAGATACTCATTTGACAGTTAAGCAAACACGACTCTCGCGTTTGTGCTCAAAAATCGAGCAAATTTTGTAGAGGCAACGCAATTTACGACTGTCTGAAGTCACATCCGATGTCGCGTTCAGTAATCGCCATGGCGACGCGGAAACGTTAAGTGGTCGAATTGGGCCTTCTGAGCTCCACTAGGCACAAGTGAAAGCCTTCACGGAATTTCCAAAGGCAAGCACTTTACGCCAACTTTTTTGTGTGTTAAAAAAAAAGAAACAGAAGAATCTTAATTGCTTAAACTACAACTACGGCGTGTATTTTGCGTGGAGCGTGCAGTGACGGTTGAGCAAATTACCGGGTCTGCCGCTAATTAACTTGGGTACTCATTTAGCCGCCGCCTCCCCCCCAGCGGACTCACGGTGCCCTCCGTGACTAGATATGCACAAAGAGCAGTGCGCCTAATTGGATTGGCAATCCACTGCACGCGCCATCACGACAATAATTGAGTGCTGCGTTCGCATTGGCTACACCCACACGAGCCCAGCTCCTTGATGTGATTGGCGGACGAGGGCTGCGTGTGTGAGTGCGTGCGTGCACACGCACGAATGCGCGTGTGACCTGGTGCGCACGCACGCACGCACGCACGCGTGAATTTTAATCACGACCATAAATGAACGGTTATCGGGGTAGCTGCTTCAAGTTAAATATTTATGCCTCGGGATCTGCCCTCCCTCCCCCCTCCCCCGCAGTCGGGGCGAGAGGGGGGAGGGCCAGGGGAACTGGCGGCAGTCTGCGTTTGTTAGTATCATCACCGTGTTGCAGTAATTCAAAAATATTCATGGCTGATTAAATGCATACTGGAATGGAAATTAGATTATATCAGCCTGAAAGAAAACTCCTTGCTTATTCGTCGAAGTAGCTCATGATGAGGATAGTTTTAATATCACTGAAGATTACACCGGGTTTTGTTATAAGTGGTTAGTTTTTTCCCGAATTTTTTTGGTTTGATTTGGAAGGACAAGAGTAGGGACTCGAACTCACATTCCAAACGTTTCAAGTGGTCCTCTTGCTGTCGATAAAACCAACTTCGGTGGGTCTAGACTGAAGTAAGACTTGTTGACGCCCTCGGTACAGTTTGCGAACCACAGAGACTCCAAGTTCAGGGGACACATCTGGGCTAGCACCTTGGTAATTGTGATACTGATATCGATTTTTGAAATAATCAATTAAATTTGCAATTGGTAAAGATTCCTAACTAATCTTGCTGTGGATGCCCGGATTTGAACCCAGAAATGCTTGTAGCACTTCTACGAGCATGCTTTGAGTTTGGACAGTCAATTAACTCGGTCGGTAGGGCGTCGTTTCGCCTGGGCAAATGAGCATTACGCGAGTAACATTCCCATGGTGACAATAAAATGGTCATGCTAGCAGAGTGGGTGCTAATGGCGCATGAATTATTGATTCGATACGGCTAAACACGCTGCTCCCACCCGCCTTCCCCACTGATATCGTCCACGACTGCTGAGGCATGAATATTTTACTTATCACATGTTAGTTAACTCGCAGCTAACAGCGGTTAAATGCACGCACAACGAAGGTCGCGGATTGGGTGGGTCCTCAATCAAATACGCTCATTGGTTGACTCATGTTAGGCCTGTCGAGGCGACTATTTTGCATCCGTCGGAAGCGAGGTAGGTGCCACGGTGTCCGGATTTACTGATATTATCAAATGGTAAAAAAAAGTGATGGAGTTTATTTGACGCGGAATCGGAGCACGCAGGAAGAGTGAGTTTATTCCCAAGGTGAGCATAAAGCATCGTCTTCAAAGGTAGACTGAATTATGGAGAAGTCTGCCTCAAATTTGGATGGAGGCAGCAGAATTTAATATTTCATCCGCTGGGAGACGGCGCGCGGATTCACATGGACGGAGATGCATTTTTTTTAACGCCCACATCCACGCCAGTCGTAATCGTGACCCGGAGCATTATCCCCACGAAGGTCCGATTTCCGGAAAACGTCGATTTGCATGCGTGCTGCCGTCTGGCAAGCTTTTCACAATTTTTCGCACGCCAACTTTCGCATTCATATTCCCCGCCTTCTTCCTATTGGCTCACGCACCTTTGAGTTACCCGCACTCAAGGCCACCCACACCATACATTAGTGGCCTTTCGTTGAGCCAGTACAAGCTCGGGATTTTACAGAATGTTTGTCGTATGGATTAGACTTGGATTTGTGACGAGGAGCACGCGAGTACAGCTAGCAAGCGTGAGCGAACACGATTCAATCGACTTTTGTCTGTCGTGACGCGAATAGACGGTCGTGGTGTTCCCTGTCAACCCGTTTGGTTTCCCCCTCCTCGGGTTGTTACAGGCTGCTAACTATAGTGTTGCACGTTAGTTCCAAATTCGGTTATCCTATACACACACACACACACGCACACACACCGCTACTGTGTCAATAAATCGGTTGACCTACGCGCCATCTGCATTTGTACTTACCATCCGATCGGGCCTCGTCAGTGCATATCGCCGGCCCTGGTGTGGTTTCCTAGAGCCCCATTGGGGCCCGCTGCGTGATTTGAACACGCAACCTTCTGATATTGAGTCAGAAGCGCTACCGTTGAACAAAATCGCCAGCAAACCCTTGTAACCCTAGTTAAGGCATCCAGGTTTGATATTGTCGGAGGTCTAAGCTACTATTAGATGTGTGACTTAATTTTTACAGAATTGCATCTTCGAGGTTCTGAAGGGATCGGACGCAAGGTTTCGGAACACCGAACGCCAAGTCTGCGTGAGTTGCATAACCTCTCTCAATGGCCGAGTTTACGTTGGTAACTGGTAAATAGCACACATTCGATGGCGGTGCATTTTATATGAATTCCAAGAAGGCAAAAAATGCTCATAGAACACGAGGAATATCAATTTGCGGTGTTCTTGGTGCTGACGTTGAATCTTACGAGTCGAACTTAGTAGATGCAAAATCCAAAAAGCTAGACGATGCGCACAAATTCGTTACCTGAGAGGTGGCGCAAGGTCGCAGAAAACGATGGCCAACATTCCCAAGATTAAGTCCATTGTTTCCTCCCTTTTACCAATTAAATTTCTTGCAAAATCTATGAAAATTAGCCCATTATTCTAATATCAGCTGAAGAGCAAATTATTGTGGCCTTAGTCCTTTTGAGTTTTATCCAAGCTCCAGAGATGCTCTTTCCTTCCTTAATTGGTGAATTGCTATATCGATTTTCAGCAACCCAGCACAAAATTGAATTGTGCTGGAACAATTGGACTCCTGGTAAATGCCGAAAGGCAAACATTTCAACTAAGAAAATTTCTGAGGTTTTAGTCCAATTTAATGTGGACGCCGGGGTTGTGTCGCAGGGCAATACCACCACCTTTGTAGATACAATGTAGGAGGTGGTCATAAAACTCTATGATGTTATCTGATAGTCCCAAGGTAGATGTGTTTCGTATAAAGCGCTTGGAATTCTCATTGAGTACTGTCTCAATGGTGCATGAAATATTTTACTCCCCGAAACAGCATCATTAACAAACAGGCAGTCTCCTTTACAAGGTCTCTCTGCTCGAGTAGGTACAAGTACGACCTCTAATCGAAAGCTCGGAGATTCAAATTGCACTAGGCCAATTTTATACCTAAAAATATGACATTTCTAGGGTAGCGTGTTAGCTATTAACATTGGAATGTCAAACCTGGACGGTTGGTTGGTAAATGTTGCCCGAAGTTGCGACAAAATCATTATATTTGAAAACACCGATTCTTTGCCGGACTTAGTTGGGCTGAAACCAGACTTGGAGGGAGATATTTACGCACCAACATCTAATTGGTTATTATGACCGTTCGGTTCTGCCAGCTGATTGGCTTGTCAGAAGTCACGCCCCGATTGGCACGCGTGCATGGCCGTTTCAGTGGCCACGTGCATTCACAAAAGCGCGGGAGCCAGCAGAAAAGCGTGTTAGCATGTCTGTCGGCAAACTGGAGCGAAGCGGGTGCCACCAGGAGGATTCCGCAGGCAGTGACCTTCATCACCCACTGGTTCCTGCTGGCCACTCCACTATTCCACCGAGCGTCGTGGGCTTGTTTGCGGAGAACGAGCCCACATCGGTCCCCGACCTCTTGTTCTATCAGCAGCAACAGCAACAGCAACACCACCAACTAACATGGTGCTTCTCTGAAACCGGTGCTTCTTTATTCCCACTGGAGGGAGACGCGGCATTCTACAGCCAACCAGAACCGCAGCCGCACGAGCATGCTCGCGAGGTTCCCGAAATTAAGCCTGCTCAAGTCCGTGAAGGCGCCAGTCAAAGGGGACGATCCAAATCGTCTGGCAACTCCAGTGACGCTCCCTGGGACATCAAAGACAGCATTCTTCCAACGGTACGTCCTTCTAATCTACTTGATGTTTAATGGAATTTACACACGGTGCCGCATAAGTTGCCAACATCTGTTTTCGCCAGGTGACCCAGTATGACCCCTACGACCTCTGGCCAGACGGGAACTGTCGCCGGATCTACTCGGTGGCGAGTGAGCGGGCGAGGAGGCATCAGAGTGGATGGGCCATGCGGAACACCAATAACCACAACCCCCAGGTCCTCAAGAAGTCCTGCCTCGGCGTGCTGGTGTGCTCCCTAGGCTGCACCTCCCCCAGCGGCCTAGCTGTTGCCTACAGGCCGGCGATTTGCGACAAGGCCAGGAAGAAACAGTGCAGTAAGTCGAGTCTCTCATTTAAACCAATCGATTTGCTTGCATGTTCATTGCTCCCACAGCGACGAACTGTCATTGGTCAAACTTCACGCTCATGTATGAGATGTGGGACCGTGTGTTTAAACTGTGGCAGGGAACACGAAAAGATTCTTTACCCTTCAAAAATATGTAAAAAAACGGAATAGTTAAACTAGCTGTTGGTTTAATATCTTTGGTCATGATTATGGATAAGAGGGAAATAGTTTTGGAGAGGTTTTGAACTCATAGAAAGAAGAGATTTGATATTTTAGTTAGGAAGTGATTACAGGTGGTGTAGGTATCGCTGATCGATGAAATCAGGTCATTCACGCGTGTGATGCAGACAGGGGTCACACAGAACACCACCGTGGGCACGAGAAAAGCACAAACAATCTCCTCAGTGTCTGTGCTTCTTTTGCTCGTGCGCGTGTGTGCCCAAAAATCGATATTGGGGATTAGGCGGAGTCGCAGTGAGGCATGAATGAAGTTAAAGCCCAGTGTTGCAGCGGAAGGCACGTCGCTGCCATAAATCCTTTTCCAACACGCCTTTGGTGCGCACACCCATAAACATCGTAATCTGACGACCCTAAACAAAAGTCCCCCTACCCGCCCTACACCGTCAGCGAATACCCTTGCCTGAGCACAGAACGAGACAATAAATGTGGCTTAGAGAAGAAGAAAAAGCGAGAAAGTCGTAAAAAATGACCTCGCCGTCTAGCAGGGGGTTGAGTATGATGCTTTAAAGTAGCATTCCACCCCGAGCGAAGTTCACGAGCAGGTGAAATTCGGTGTGGACTTTCAACCGAGTGGTCTGCTTGATTAATCCATCGGCCGGCTGCAGCTACCAAAGAAACAGACGATTTCTACTTTACAAAGAGGAAGTGAATGACCGGGTTCTTTTTGAGATCAGTCGTGCATTAGTGTGGCCTTTGAGGGTTAAACTGCCAAGACTCAAGGAGGGGTGCGTTTCAAGGAATCTGCTTCGAGCGGGCGCAGGATCGACAGGACCTCTGGAAACAGACGTGTGCGAGCATTAGTCGCATGAACTGCTTCCTTTTTCGCATACACGCCTCACGTGAGACTAATTTATTCCATGTTCAAACCTTGAAATATTAAAGAGGTAAAATTATCATTGCAACAACCAATAAGGCATCTGCCAAGTCATGGAATTTGATCTACTTTACTTGGAGCGAGCCAGCAACAAGTTTTAAAATTCCATTTTTATACTATGTTGTAATATTTAGTCAACTGTAGCTTCGTGACTCCTGAGGCATTGCCTATTTTATCTGGAACTAGGCCTCCACGTGGAGGTTGAAAGAAAGGGCCCTCTTGTTGGTAACAATTGTGGGTTCGCCGTGAGATAAGTTGTTGATCTCATGCTTATTTGGGTTTGTATGATTTGAAGAAATATTTCCATGACATATAATTACTAAGTAGAATGAAGCAGATGATTGGTTTAAACAGATAATTTCATTGGTCAAATTTGCACAGATCAATACTCACAGCTAGCCAATCAGACGCATCTGGAAGACAAGCGGGCATGCATACATTGACATTGTCTGATAATGCAAAAAGAATAGGTCTTTTGAAGTAGGGCAACCAACCACCAGATTGACCTCTTAACACGTCTAAAGCCAGCTACGTGGTTGGTTGTTCTATAGGAAATCTCGTGAAGGAGCCCTCACGCCTAATCCCACAAAATCTAGCTTGTGCCAACAATCAATCATCTTTAGAAGCCAACTGAGCAGCTTCTTCAAAGAATGACCGGAGTTTGTTTTTTTTTATTTGCAGAGCATCTAATCCCAAATTTCAGGTAATACTATTACACTGAACCGAGCCAGGGTTTTATTCATTTTCATGTTACCGACAAAATTATAGAAAACTGGTTGCACACCATGCACATTAGTTGCCAGTGCAAACAGTTTTTTTAGCGTTGTGACCTCAAAACTACTGAAAGACGGCAGAAAATCACATAAATGCCCGCTTAATGAAGGAATTTTAACTGATTCTGCTAAAGCCTTCTGAGGCCTGAGTGCGCATGTTTACAGGGCATCGAATTAAACACTTGTAAGGTTTGTCAGACCACATCTGTGCTGTGCCTTGCAGTGCGGAACTGCACCACGCCTGGCTGCAAGGGACGCCTGGTTCAGAAGAACTGCAAGGGTCACGGCGGTTACCCGGTGACGCATTTCTGGCGATTTGCGAACGGCGCCGTGTTCTTTCAGTCGAAGGGCCGCCACGACCACGTCAAACCGATGGCCAAAGCCCTCGGCTCGAGCTCGGCCATCTCCTCACGAGCAAAGCCCATTCTGGACGAACCTGTCGCCTCGCATCGACGCAAGATCCGATCCTCGGGTAATCTGGCGTCGGCCAAGATCCCCCTGAGCCAAGTGGATCTTGAAGCCAAGGTAACCTCATGCCTTAACACCGCTCTTACTCAGGTGATGGATTTGTAGAAGATCGGGCAGTTATGTCCGAATTTGCCTGCTTGCTCACACTTCGTCTTCCATGTTGGGAGAAATGCGAGTAGATAAACATCTACCAAACCTGATTTATAAACTCTTCGCGAGGAAGGGTTCGAAGTCCAGTTATCTGAATAGAAAAGGATGAGTAGGGCATGCAAAATGCTTGTCTTGAAACTCGAAGAATCTTCCAAATTGCTGGTAGACGATTCTGGGGCCAAAATGTGATGCGCGTGGAACAGGACTTAGTCTAAAACAGCAGGGAAACATGAATAATTTCACAGCTCCTCACACCTTCCACATCACCACAGCAAACATTAATTACTCATTGGCATCCAAAATATCAGCCGCAGACTTCAATGGCTGAATGTTTTTTTCCTTCTCTGCTACAGCCAAGGATCGCATCCACGCTTAGAAATGAGAGACCCAAGCACGATGAGCCTCAGAAAGGTAAGCCGGAAATCTTAGTTCTTACAATCCTCGATTTATCGAAACTTGGGACCAAACGAAAACTACATTTGATAACCAGAAAGAGGAGAGTTAGGGGACATTCGAATCTACCAATTTGGAAGGAGAACCCTAAAGTTAAATCACACATAACCTGCGAATATTGAGTATGTGGTAATTGGGGATCGTTTAGTTATTCCATCCTTGTATTAGGAAATGGTGAGGTTGCGTTTCATGTGTGATTGGCTGCCGGATCGAGTCAAGGTCTATGTGCATCATATCAACAGCGCATTCAAGTCAAATTGCTTTGCTCATGCAGTTTAGATCCCAAAAAACCACATTGGTCAACGTTTATAAAAGATAATTGACCGGCGGAATATCAGCAAACTTTTACTTGTACTGTGATTGCATCTTTGAAAATACGAACACGGTTACGACGGGGAGAAGAGTAGCTGATGTCGGTGAAACTTCGAAGGCTAGATTTTCTTCCTCTGAAAAATTGTAAAATTGGCCTGCCTGTCAGCGTTCCCGTGTTCTTTTTAAGATGCCGCCACCGACTTCAACCACTTCCAGCTCCATCAGCCTTCCGAGCTCGAAGCCTTGCTCATGCATCACCAAAGTCAACAAATCCCGTTTCAACAAATGGACGACGTTGGACAAACTGGAGTTTACTTCCAGCAACCTCAGCAACCACCACCACCACTGGACTACTTCCTGGGTGCCGAGCAGCAAGTTGTTGGTGCCTCAACCTTCCACCACCAACTCCAACCGGCAGAAGAGGTCTTCGTGAATCCCCACCAGGCCAACCTGAGTCAACAGGAACAATATCACTACGCATGGCGCATACCCGTCGCCACACCATCGTCGGCAGTTGAAACTGACTATGTGGAACATCAGGATCAGCAGCATCAGCAGCAGCAACAGCCTTACTTGGGCATGCTATTCGCGACATCAGGTGTTGCGTACAGAACTGACGCGTTCGAAAACTATCCCGCGCTACCGGAGACAAGCGGGAGCACAGACGCATCGATTGTCTCATTTCCGGGAGGCGGAGAGAGTGAGGCGATCCCCTACCCAGTGACCATCGAACCCCCAGCCGATTGGACAGTCGGGCAGCAGGGTCAGCATCAGGTGCACCACAGCAATCAACATCACCACCTCCACCACCACCATCAGCAACAACAGCATCAGATTATGCTGGATGAGCTGCAGCCTGCGTGGTTCCTCAGCCCCCAGTTCCCGTGGAAATCGATCGAAAGTTGAATGGCGCGAGTGATTGAGTGTACAGTTGCTCTCTCAGGTCAATTGCTCCCAAGTGCCTTGTGATGTGTACAGCACCTGTCTTCATATTTGCCTTTTTGCTCGTATTGTCAATACCATGAATTGTGTTCAAAATGTACAATCTTCTAGTGTTTGGGGTGTGTGTATGAACGACCCGGATTCTCATTTCGAATCGCTGCAGGCTAACCAATAGGCTCTTCGTGATCAGATACAGCTGGCATTTCAAATTCTCCTGGTGGTAGCGGGATAAATAATCACCGTCGCCTAGTGAAAAAACAAGTCCACACGCACACACACATCCCACGTGGACGCAATTCCACGGATTGCTGGTTATCAACTAACACAATGCAAGCAGTGGACGCGCCTCATTAATGCCGCTTGCAGTACGCCTGGTTTTTAGATCAAGACCATCAAACCTCACTCCGTTTGTAGCGCCGGACATAAATTACGAGTTATTTTCACTGTCTGAATTGAAGACCAATAATAAAACGCCTCTAGTCGAGTAGCCGCAATTGTGGATTAGCGCCTGCGTAGACAGCAGTGGGGCTTACGTTATCGTGGTGTTTCTTAACTGGACTCGACTTTTGTAGGGTTCGGTTTACATCCCTCACGAATAGGTTTCATGTCAATTTTCGACGATACAATGCCATCGGAAGCAGCCGTTTCGTTCGAGAGTGGCTTTTTGGTCATTCGAATAAAAAGGCATTACAATAAACAAAACGACGGGTTCCGACTTCTGTAATTGGGGAGGGGGTTTGAATCAATCTGTCAGCGTTATCGACACCTCCTCTCGCGCCTGACTAATCGATAAAAGTCACAATCGAGAAACTTAGAGGAAAAATTTTTGATACACTTTATACTCTCCCCACCATAGCTGACAAAGTTGAAATAGTTTCGTGCATGACTAAGCTACTGTCCACGTCTTCGGGACTGGCACACTTCCAGATCACCACTTTCTCCGAAACGTGACGATTCTGCTACAAACCTGCCATAAAATGTGGTTGTCGGGAGTGCCTACAAAGCGTAGAATCGTCAATAAAACCAGAGATGGATTAGCAGATATGACTTTAGCGCGAATGGCGTCACCTGTTGCCAAGGGGGTGAGAGTCCCTTATGAGTGTACAAAGGTGTGAAGGCGACTTCGGCCCCCGATTACCTGATTATTTTACTCAGACAGATTTTTAAGGATTCCTTTTGAATGTGATCGATCGTAATCCGGCAAAAGCCACCAATGGGGAAGCGGTGTATTTCAGTTAACTGGACACAACTTCGCCCAATTAAAACCGACTGTTGGATACAAGTTTGGGGTCAAATCACTGAGCCATGGAAACAATAAAGACTTCGCGGCAATAAAATTCGCGTTAACAATAACCGCCTTAGTTACTAGCTCAACCATCCTGTCAAATTTGGGGGTGACTCATCACGCAATCCATGGTGGCAGGGTAATCATCTCAAACTCGAAGCAGCGATGATACCACAATTTTGAGCAAGCAATGCGACTGCCAACCTTTTAATGTCGAAACTGAACATAGACACCTGTTTAGGACGCACTTGTGACGTCGACTCACTCAGCTTTATTCACCCTGTTGCGGGCCGGCCCCAGCATGTGGTCTTGAACCACGCCAGGGCCACGGAATTAACCCTGGCCCGATTACGCTTCCCTGATGCCCACGATGAAGAAAAAGACCGGAGAGGATGTGGACACAACCGTTTACTTCAGAGCTCAGCCACGTTGGTGTCGTTGTGTGGGGTTTGTGCGTGTGTATTTATACCTCAGATGTGTGAGTCATACATGCGCTAACATCGAGACCTAGGTGTGGGCATACTCCAAGATAAATATCGGTATGAATGAGGGGGGAGTTGAGGGGAACCC